CATCTCTGAAGAAAACAATGCTTTTATTTAACAGTTATAGCTATTACAGGATCACAAAAAAAAGAGTAAAAAATCTCAAGGCAAGGATAATTTCCATAGATATCTCACACTACAAAGAAAGCTGGAAATCAAAGCATTGCCGTCATTTAAAGAACGACTTTTGGAATGACACTCTTCATTTTTATTTATTTTTTTCAACTGGTGAAGTATTTGCATAGCTGAAGTTAGCAGTCTCTCTTGACAGGCTGAGGAGAACAAACAAAAGCGCTCTCTCCAGAGACTCTCTCTGCCACGTAGGGTGATGCAAGCTTACATATATTAACAGCACTTTGTACATTCGCTAACTATCACAGCGAGTCCTCAAAGTCTCATTTTTGTCTGTTTCTGAGCAGAGTGTTTGGCAGCCTGGTGTCACCGCTGTCAGGGTTGCATGAAAGTAGCCATGTTTGATATGCTGGATGTTTGTAGCTGCTCTGCGGCTGTGTTTGGACATGTGCGACGTAGTCTTCGGTCCCTTCGGGTCAGCCTGCGTGCAAGCTTGCGTGTTTCCCCATGTGGCGGGAGGGTTGGAGTGTCAGAGTGGATGTGCCTTTGAGGCCGCGGCACAGCAGATTAGCGTCTTTTCTTATCATTCAAATCAAGCCTTCGCTCCCTTTGAAAAACATATTGTACACTTCCCTTCCCTCCCCCTGTCGCCCATGACGACAATCTGCGGCCATGATGGCTGACTCTGAGGAGCTTCCCTGAGCCAGTGGTGGAGAGAGAGTGAGGAAGACTGGATGAAACAGAGAGAGATCCTCAGGGGACTGTGGAGGGAGGGCTTGTCCGTCCCGGACCCTCTACCACATCATCAGAGTGTGATCACAGCTGCGTAATTGATATATGGCTGTGGCTGTCTCTTCTCCTCACCCTTGTTAAGGTCAACTTATCTACATTTCACTCCTTATTTCTCCACTCCTATTATATACTGACTGACTGGTGCGGCCTGTCCTGCCGAAAATATGAATTGAGGATGAAACAAGCGAGCGCTTGTAGAGGAAGGGGGGGCTGCCTTTATTCCGGTGCCTAACCCTTGCCTGTTATCAAAGTAACTTCCAGCTTATTAGTAACAAAAGGCCTTTTTCTCCTGCTCTCATCCCTCCCCCTCCTCCTTCCTCCTTTGTGCGGGCCGTGTTCGCTAGCGCTTCCTGAATTAAACTGCTGGCTTCCTGTTCTTTTATATGCATGGCCACATCTGGGGGAGCTTGCTCGCAGCCCCGCTGCTTAATAACAATCACCTTCCCTTTCAGTCGCCCCTGATTGTTTCTAATTCACTCTGACAGATAGTGGCTGACAAGCCGCCCGCGCCTCCTCCCTCCGTGACCCCGGCTCACTCACCATACTTATACCGCCTGTCATTTTTAATATTTGATTTCGCTTTTAAAGTTATGTGTTTTAGTCCGGTGATGAAATCAGTGTTTAACCGAAACACAAAATGGATCTCTCTCTCCCACTTTCTCCCGGGTTCTTTTTTGGCACAGACTCGTTCTTTTCCTGTTCTTTCTTCCTTCGCTTTCTGTCTCTGTGGCTTTGCTTCTCATTGGAGACAATGGGGCAAAGGTGGTTTAAATGCCACGCAGGGGTGGCACAATGGTGTTGCGAAGATTTCTTTTTTTTTTCTTCTTGATGATGAAGTATGGCTGGGTGATTTATCGAAAAATAATCAAAATCGTCATTCAGAATCAATAATCGAACAACTTTTTCCAGCTCAATTTTTTCAATTACTTTCCCCTACAGCGCGTGGGGTCTCGTAACCCAGCTCTGTTTGTTACTATTGTGTTACTTTGCGATACATTGGCGATGATTGGAAGCTGGACCAGAGATGCCTTGAGACGACATGTTTTCCATTACATCAAAATTATTATTTAAATTAAAATATTTGTTTACAGAAGATGCAAAAAACTGACTGTTTAATATAATATTTACAGGATTAAGAAGAGATCCTACTTATTTTCTACCTTTAATATGAACAATCATTGAAAATTATTTATTTTGTTTACAAAAGTGTGAGTTGTTAGTTGTTTATCACTTTTTTTGTATAAGAAAGTGAAATTGGTTTAGGCAATGTGTGTTTTAATTTCAGTTGTCCAATGCTGATGTTCAATAAATAATTATAGATTGTAGATAGTGCGTGTTTCCTTTAATTATTTTTAAATCAAGTAATGCACCCTTCATACAAACATCTCCTACTTGTAATTTGTGAGATGATTTACTGTACAAAACTTGTCTTTTAACTATGAGGGCAAAAAAATACACAAATAATCAAATCGTTTATTAATCGTAATCGAGTTATTTATCGAGATTTAGATTTTAGGCCAAATCGCCCAACCCCTATGATGAAGTCCATAAGGGCGTCTGGTCCAAAGGAGTCTATAAAAAACGAGTAGATTGGATGGAGTCATGGCCATGTTTTCCATTTATTAATGTGAAAGAGAGTGTGAAGCACAGCAAACATTTTATTCGACAATTATTCACCAGTGGCTTCGGGCTCATAGATTTGTAGAGGTTTCAGTCAAGTCGTTCTCAGCTGATATCCATTAAAAACACGTAGACATGCAATATTTATACTTATTTGTTTTCTGACGGCACGGGGCCACTACTAGAGTGTTGAGAGAATGGATGGATGCATTGACAAGTAGATGGATTGCATTTGGTGAGAAATCCATTCAGTTATTCGATCAAAGTACAGCCCTACTTTGACTGAAAATAAATTATATTTATATATTTTTAAGTCTGTTCCATGATGGTCTCTTATATCTGTTAAGAGCTTTCTTGCTGTTCAGACATTATATTCGATAGTTCAAAAATAGCAACAGTAATTCCCTGGCAAAAACTTTGACTATTGTAATTGTATTATTATTATTATTATTATTATTATTATTATTATTATTATTATTATTATTATTATTATTATTATTATTATTATTATTCATTTTCTTTTTGGCTTTGTCCCTTTATTATTCAGGGGTTGCCAAAGCGGTATGAACCGCCAACTTAGGCATATGTTTTATGGATGTCCTTCCAGCTGCAAATTTCCCCATCACTGTGAAAATTATTATTATTATTATTATTATTATTATTATTATTATTATTATTAGATTCAATTTAGTTAGGTCTGTTCAAGTTTTCAGCTGTTTTTCAGCTGGAGTTTATAACATTATAGAACTGATAGTCATGCAGGGTTGATTTTGACATATTAAAAGGGCTTGAGGGTGAAAATAAATATCAAAGCCAAAGAGAGTCTGTGTAAAGTAGCGAAAAAGAAAACGCAGACAAACATCTTCTAGTGTCTTGACAGCTATCTTTGTGCCTCGCAATTTACCTTAAACTACAGTACTTAACGTTTTCAGAGCAATTGAAATCAAACACTTCCAGCCTAACATATTCGTATCATTATTTTTACAAAGCACCATGTATGGCTCTTTAATCAGTCAATCACAGAGTCTGTGCCATCATAATGCACCCCTCACGCTTCCTGTTGTTCAAACACTATCACAGTTGAAATCAATAGAATTGTATTTTTAACTCACTTCAATCAAAACACCCACACTGTTTGTGTACTCTGCTCTCTCCATCAATAGTCTTAAGACCAAAAACTAAACTATTGCGTTGATGTTCAACCTACCGAACACACAGGCGTCACTTCATTCCGGAAAGCGACAGTGCCTTGGGCGTGCCCAAGTCCAGTATTTCTTTTCCTTTTTTTTTTTTTTCCTTTTTTTTTTGAATGACAAACACAGAACTAATTGGAGAACTGCTGCATGTTTTCACTAAAGGCACAATTTAATTACATTTGAACCGGGAACGAGTATTTTGGGAATGTGATATATTCGTTCAAACAAATGGAGCGAGAGAAATGCAATATTTGTTTTGCTTTGATTAGCAGATTGGCAGGGATTTTTTTTTGTCGTTGTTGTTTTGAGAAAGGGACAAGAACTCTTTCCCCAAACTTTCTTTTGTTCACCTAAAAGAGCAATACTTTGAGTACAGCCATCTCAAAACCAAATTAACATTAAAATTATCCTCGTCCTGAGGGTCTGTGACTGTGGGCTACATACATTAGCCAACATGTAGCTTTCTCAGTCCTATGGTGGCACCCCTGATAAATTCTTTATTAATAACTTTCTAAATAATGTAAAGTGTATTGTTGTCTCCGAGGTTGTATTAATAAACATGAAGGAATTTGTTTGTCTTTAACAAAGCATGATTAATGCACATTAGCGTGTGGATTCCTGATTCACAGTCTTCTCTTCCAGTCCAATGAAAAAAAGAAGAAGAAAAAAAGCACACCCATCAGCATTAAATATTTATGGCACAATATTAATGGTTTTGTAAAGAAAATAACAAGTTATTAATCCTCTGATTAACAACTGATTAACCTTTTTATTAAACACGTGATCCGTGCTTCATGGATTCAGGATGTGTCGCTCGAGTGTGCTGCAGAATAATTATTTTTGTGTCTTTTTTAATTGCAAAAATTGCACGGATGAACTGTTTTTCTGCCCTTTTTTCTTCTCAAACATGCACAGATAGAGACGGATACAGCGCTGGCGACACAATATTTTGCCGATGTGAAGCGACCCCGGCGCATCCTACAGAAAATAAAACATGCACTAAATATAGCAGGACATAACTGCGGACAATGAGGTTTAATTCTCGCATCCGTTTATTCCCGTGTTATTGGCGTGTGCGAAAATAAGGAGAATGCACGCACTGCTAAAGGACAAGCGGTCCTCCATCTCTGTCTGTCTCTGCTCTTCTCACTGCCATTGTGTGTATTTTTAGGTCTTGCCTGAGTCAGTTCAAGCACAATTATGCTTATGTTTCACACACGCCAAGTGTGACTTCATTTTACAGAGAGGAAATGGGGGGGAAAGGGCTGCCCGGGCAGTTTTGCAAATAAAATAAAATTATGTCATTTATAGCATTTCACATTGTCACGATTTCCTGCTGCTTTCCAGCTTCCTGATACACAGAGGGACAGGCAGAAAGTGTATGTAAAGTTATGAAGGAAGGCCAGCAGGTCCCCCCTCCTCCTCCTCCTCCTGCTCGCCTGGCCGGCGAATCTCCTTGGGAATGCAACACCCGCCTCAGGTGATTAATACAAAAACGTGGGGCCTGGGCTGTTTTACAAACATCAAAAAAAAAAAAAGAAAATGTAATTCATAATGCGTTTTTATACCCTGACCCCTGCCATCTATTGTGCAGCTATTCTTTAGCTTGCAGAATCCATCAAAGGCCATAGTGTTTTGAAAACCGCCAACAATAGCAGTCTTTGTGTGGAGATGTGTGTGGGGATAAGGGTGTTGGGACACTTGTTGTTTTTTATGCCTGGTCTTATGATGGATTGGTGCTTGTTCGGTAGGGTGTCTTTGTTAACTTTCTCTCACACTCTCTCTTTAAATATTTCGAATCTTACCTTCAGTGACTTTCCATCACCCCCCTTGCTCATTTTGCGCTATCAGTTTTTCTCCTTCTGTCCTGCTGTTGAGTGTTTCTTCCTCCCTCTTAACCTTTTTTCTTCTCTCTGCAGAGTCCTTCATCTTTTCTTTCTTTTATCATGCAGTCTTTCCTTCTCTCTCTCTCTCTCTCTCTCTCTCTCTCTCTCTCTCTCTCTCTCTCTCTCTCTCTCTCTCTCTCTCTCTCTCTCTCTTTCAATCTTCATGCAAGCAAACTGGCCACCCTGGGAATCCTGGCAGTCAGTCACACGCCCCTCCAAAAACAATTATCTTTGAACTTGCTTTTAGTGCTGTTTGTCCTAATTACAGATCATTTTCCCTGTCACATTTCTACTTTTATTGCAGTTTTGCCCTGAATGTTGATCCTATTGAGGTTCAACCTTATTTTACTCGCTGGAACACCCCTAAGACCTGGATTCATCTACTATTCCCCTGTGCCTTTTGCTCTCTCTTTTCAGATTTGATTTTTTTTCTCTCCTTTTTTTCCATTTCTTTCTTTTTTTGATGTATCATTTTTTTTGTAGCATTATCTTATTGAATTAGACTGAGATCCCAAAATACACATCGAGGATGTATGGCCTGCTTTATTTCTGGTGTTAAAGTTTAGTCTTTGCTATGTGTGTGTGTGTGTTTGAGGTATGAGCAGCCGTAAGGCATGCTAACTTCAGTCCCACTGGGAAACCCTGCGTGTATTTTTAGTTCTCTGCTACAGAGGTGGACTTCGTTGTAATTAAAACCAAGTAAAGGTGGTTAATTCCTTCCTTTGCCTGACTGCTTCAAATATCAATCTGCTCTGTTTTAAACGTATCACACATACGCGTACACACAAACACCCACATGCGTGCTTAGCATAACACACTCACATATACATGCACACGAGCTCGTAAGCCTCTTACAGATCCGATTCTGCAAGCAGACACAACATGCGCTGGAGTTGCAAGGAGAGGTTTAGACATGGTGCAGGGCCTTTTTCAATTAGAGGCGTATCGCACACAGCCCGATAGGATCGTAATGCAGCGGGTCCGGGTCATTGGTAGGATGTGGGATTAGAACTACCTAGTGGTTCTGGCAGAGCAGAAAAACTCTAAACATCACAGCAGGCAGACACTTCTGCCTTTTATTCTTCTTTTCTGCAAGTCACATAGTGGAGAGATAATAGAGATGTCTTGGTGAGCTTCACAGAGTGCCAGAATCTCTCTCTTTCTCTCTCTATCTCTCTCTGTTTTCCTCTTAGTTTATAGGGCCAGTGTTAACGTATTACAAATTTTGCTTAAATAGGATAATTCACCTAATAATAATAATAATAATAATAATAATAATAACTATATATAAATAAATAAATATATATATATATATATATATATATATATATATATATATATATATATATATATATATATATATATATATATATATATATATATATATATATACATAATGTTTTCCCAGAGATGGGTTGCAGCTGGAAGGGCATCCGCTGCGTAAAACATATGCTGTATAAGTTGGATAAGGGACTAAGCCGTAAAGAAAATAAATGAATGAATTAAATGGGCGACGCGGTGGCACAGTAGGTAGCGTTGTCGCCTCACAGCACAGCACGTTGCTGGTTCAAGCCTCAGCTGGGTCAATTGGCATTTATGTGTGGAGTTTGCATGTTCTCCCCATGTTGGCGTGGGTTTCCTCCGGGTGCTCTGGTTTCCCCCACAAGTCCAAAAATATGTGGTATAGGTGAATTGGGTAAGATAAAATTCTCATGTGTGAATGCGTGTGTATGGATGTTTCCCAGTGTATATATACATAATGTTTTCCCAGAGATGGGTTGCAGCTGGAATGGCATCCGCTGCGTAAAACAAATGCTGGATAAGTTGGCGGTTCATTCCATTGTGACAACCCCTGATTAATAAAGGGACTAACTGAAAAGTAAAAAAAAAATGAATTAACTTGTTTGTTTGTTTGTTCGCACAAATGTCCACATCAAATGTACTATCAAGTGATAATGCAACAAATACTTCTAATTAAATGTGTTTTATCTGTATGTATTTAATTTAAATTTAATCATTAGTTTATACATTTTTTAGAGAGAATTCTTTTGATTATTTTGTTCATGGTATATCCAGTTGTGGTCACAGTTTTTATAATTACCTGCATAGCATACCAGCATTTAACAGTTTAGTTGTTTTCCAAATCCACTGCTGGCAAGCAGCATCACCACAACATAACTTGTGTTTGGATGAACAGTCCTTGACCCTCAAGTTTGTTTTGAGAAATAAAGAACAGTTTTTTTAGACTAGCTAAGTTAGTTATAGTTAGGATCCAGCAATCCACCTGTGCTAGTTAAAGATAAATTACATTGTTGTTTATGTACATATCTTCATTACCCACCAGTTGAGAAAAAACTGCTGTACGTCATTTCTTCCTTTATAATCACAAACCTGTATGTTAGTTAATCTTGGTAATCCAGCCACTGACACTCAATGTGTGTGAGAGAAAGAAAGAGAGTGAGAGTGAATAGCTACTTAGCCAGTCTCTTATCTTCATTTACTCTTCTCTCTCCATCTATCTCTCTTTTTTCACCTTTGCTGTTTTTCATGGAGTATTGCTGCTTCTCAAAAGACAGAAAGCAGACAATTTGGAGCACAGAGAACGTTGATAGTGCTGTGAAGTGCCCCCTCGAGGAGGTCCAGGCGCATACACACACACATTGGAGAGTTGTTCATTTATTCCTTGCTCTGATGAGAACAGCACTTCGTGTCTTTAGTGTTTTGTGGCTCATAACACTATGCTCTTACATATATGTCTGTGTGTGTGTGTGTATATACATACATACATACATACATATATATATATATATATATATATATATATATATATATATATATATAAACACACATTAGAAAGAGAGGCAACTGTATTCTTCTTGTACTCACTGTTCTGCACATACATATAAATGCTGCGGAGACATAATTGGTTTACTGCTTGTTTAAACAGAACATTGCTTTTCTATGCTGCAACAAAAAGATATTTAAGTCCTCAATGCTCAGCTTTCCAGTAATGTAGACTGAAATACACACTGTCAAAAGTGTGTGTGATGCTTTAGGTGCGCATATTGTTTCTTTCTTTGTTTCAAACGCTAGAATATACGGTGACAGACCTTGATAGGTGTTTTGTTGGTATATCGCTCTCCTGGTTTAATGAGGTTGTTTTCTATTCCGACCCAATTGTCAGTTCGCCTCTACGTTCTCTCTGTCATTCTCTGCCTCTAATGCATTGACAAAGAGAGGCTTTTTTTTCCTCCTCCGAATCAACCGTTTCCTGAATCAAAGCGTGAGAACTTCAGCTGTATGCCACAGCAGCCCTCTTCTGCCACACTTCCTCTGTCTCCCTGCCTGTAGCTTGGCGGCTTCCTCCTCAGCAGGGGGAAAGGTAAATCATGTGAGGAGAAGGACTGGGGAAGGGTAGCTGACTGTGACACGTACCTGTCAGCAGGTACTCAAAATAATTGGTAAATGACTGTAGCGGGATAGAGAGGGCTCTCTCTTTCCCTCCTCCATTTGATAAATATTTGAAGTTGCCAGGCGGTTGTCGAGCGCAGCGCAGAGAGTGAGAATATCACAGACGTTGAGCTGGGAAAGCAGACGTAACGGAGACGGGCGTAATGTGTGCGGATTGAAAGAGATGTGAGTGAAACACAAGTTGAGTAATACATTTCAGAAGTTAAAAGCAAATCTGCTGGGACTCGATTTTATAACCTAGCGAAGCAGACCTGCGTTTATACCTGCATTAACTCAATTACGTAGAGTATGCTTATATTAGATAGGCTATGCGCACACACTTGCACCGACTTCAGTTGGCAGCCCTCTGCCACTCACACACATTAAATGTGAAAAATGCATAATTCTTCATAATTTTGAAACAATGCCATGGAAAGTTCAGTCCGATAATTACTCGGCGGACAAATGTGCTTTAACATTGGGAAATCTTCGCTCCCTGCCAATTTTAAGAGCGCCATTGGGCTCTGTTTGTCTGATAATGAACAGTATTCATTTTCATCATGTTCCTTCACCCCTCCTCAACTCCCTTTACACCATAGTCAATTAAAGCCCTGAGGGCCCTTCTGTGCATAAAGGGATATATAACTCTTTTGACATTTGGCTGCGGACATATTAGGCACACCCAGAGCACATTTAGAGCAAATAGCCTTTATAGTGCATTTAAAACGCCCCATTCCAGCTACAGCCAAAAAGGGCGACTGAGGTCTGGCCAAAGAGTCTTCATTCGCTTTATGAGGAAAGGTAAGGGCATTGCATCAGCATGTCGAGTTGAAGGAGGACAGAAGAGTAAATGGGCATTCAGATCAGTAAATATTTTTGCAGGTTCAATATTTTGGCACTACTCCAATGGGAAGCTAAGGGTTTTTGGTAATCTCATTTCAAAGACAGCTGTGTAATGGCATCTTTGAGACAACCAACATGAACACCAATCCTGGGCAAAGGAGTTTCAATGGCAAAGGACCCCTTAGTGTAGAGTAAGTGTGCTAGGCTAAAATGAAGGAGTGAGTATATGAGGCCATGGAGGCGCGTCCATAGCCGTTTCCGCTCTGACGATAGTGACTGGGGGACCCAGATAGGACGTTTG